GAGCTGCAGTTTGCTCAGCTGTAAGCTGAGGCCCTGGCTGCCTCCTTCCAGGCTGGGGTGGGTTAGGTCGGTACAGGGCAGACAGCACCATCTAGGACCAGGTCACCGGGAGGAGACAGGAAGCCTGGCCCGCAGCGGCCCCCGTCTCGCCGCTGTGTGACCTCAGTCAGCCTCTGGGCCTCAGTCTTCTCTTGGATAAAACAGAGTCCCCCATTCCCATCCCCACCGCATGTGCATGCCCTGGAGCTCTGGAGGGGAGCCCCCAGGAGGCTCAGCCATTGAGCCGTTCCAGCCACAGGCCAGAGTCAGTGTCCGGCCCAGGCCAGTGCCAGGGTTCCAGCTCTGCAGACCCTCAGGCCCCATTAGCAGGAATTATCCTCTCCACTGTCCACAGGGACAGAGCCTGGACAAGGAGCACACAGGGTTCAAACCCCGAGTCCCCTGCTGCCAGCAGCAGCACCTTCCTGTAAGCAGCATCCGCTCCCCTCCCCTGTCAGGCCCCCACCTATAAATTCCATGCCCTCAGGGGTCCTTCTCTTAGCAAGTGCAAGGGTACAGGGATACCCTAGAGCAGCGGTTCTCAACCTGTGGGTCGAACGACCCTTTCACAGGGGCCGCCTAAGACCATCGGAAAACACATATATAATTACATATTGTTTTGTGATGAATCACTATGCTTTAATTATGTTCAATTTGTAACAATGAAGTTGGGGGTCACCACCACATGAGGAGCTGTATTAAAGGGCCACGGCATTAAGAAGGTTGAGAACCACTGCCTTAGAGCAAGCATGTCAAACTCGCAGCCCGCAGGCCACATGCGGCCCACAACAAATACTTTTGCATCCCAGCCAACATAACAGTATGTTAGAAATGTTTTAATAAAAATTTCATAACTTAATTTTTACACAATCCTGTTATACATAATCTATATATATATATAAGGCTAATATGCTGAAGTGTCCAACCTTCCCGGTAATGATGTCACATGGCAACGCCTGGCTTCCTCTCCCTAGCAACTAGCCTCCTTGCAGTTCCTTCAGCCCAGGAACACAACTTGCTTTATAGCCAGGTGCAGACACTTCACACTTTAACCAAATGTCTGTGAAGCGTTTTCACGTGCCTCATCTCATTTGATCCTCACAGAAGTCTTGGGACAGGTAGCCAGGAGACTCAGTGGAATCCTATTTTCTTTTCATTAGCCAGAAAATGGAGATTTAGAAAGCTTAGAAACTTGACCCGACTGAAAAGAAGTAAAAAATGGTGGAACTTGAAAATGACTTCAGGCTTTCTCACTGTGCAGAATATAGTCAGACACTGCTGCAGTTACATATTTTACCCTTTGTTCTCCCTGCATGATCTACAATAATAATCTGCTTCATGTTGCTATTTACTGCTGTGTTGCTGACAATTGCCTGAAAGAGAAGTTTGGGTGCTTCACTGGCCTGGAAAAAGTTTAGCTAAGTCAGAAAGCAGGTCTAATTAAGCACGTTTATTCTATATCTATAAAAGGCTAAGTTGACTTGCAGATGCAAAATACATATAAAGCACTCGCTGGCACCAATCGCATGTGTGTGTTTCCATCTGTCATTGTCGATAGTGAATTTGGTTGACACTTCTATTACAGAGAAAGGGTGAGTAGTGATATTAAAATATTTCTTCTAATTTCCTTTTGATGTTCATGAATTTGTGCACCGGGCTACTAATTATTAATAATGAACTGCAATGTTCACTAATGACTGATTACTATAATCGTGTTGCATTCATTTCCCTTACGCGCCTTACACGCAGGCACACCATTTCTCTCCACTAATACCAGCGGCGAATATTTTAGCAGCCGATTGCCACATCATTAGTCTTGGACTGACTTGTTTGGTGTGTGAAACAGGATATATTTCGCTTTCAAAGAACAAGAAAAATAGGTTTATAAGCATGACACTTATTAATTTGTGCAGGTATTCAGTGTCTGATAAGTTAATGTTCAAGCAAAAATATTAATTTTTATTAAAATGTTCTATTTTATGTTCACGACTACTCATTTATTTCAGCCCTTTGTATTCAGCATGTCTTTATTGAAATAAACCTACATTTCCATGATAATTGAAGCTTTTGTTTCTTTGCGGCCCACATAAACTTAAACCTTGTTTATTTGGCCCATGTTAGCCTTTGAGTTTGACATGCTTGCCCTAGAGTCTAGACTCTAGAGGCAAAGGGGCAAGGGGCACCTTCTTCTGTGACCTTCTTCGCTGAGACCGGGAGGCCTCTCTGTGTGTAGCTGCGGCCTCCCATCACCCGCATGGTTACAGACATAACATGCCTCCGTACCTGGCATCAGAGCACGGAACATCTTCCGCCACACCTGGAATTTGAAGTCATCTGAGATGACAGGCAGCTGGATGTCCAGACGGGCAGGCGGCGGGGACTCTGCCAGGATCTTCTGCAGCCTGGGGAGGGGTGGGGAGTGTCTGTGAGGGGACTTCCGGAGGAGGCATGGGGTGGGGGAGGGCAAGAAGCAGTGCCCAGAAGAGCGGACAAGGCTGTGGAGTTCCGGGACCTCTCCACTTCATTCCTCTGCTGAATTTTCAGTTTGGAAAGATGGAAAGTTCTGGCCCCAGCCAGGTGGCTCAGTTGGAGCGTTGTCCCATACACCAAAAGATTTCCGGTTCGATCCCCAGTCAGGGCCAGTACAGGAGGCAACCAAATGATGTTTCTTTCTCACATGGATGTGTTTCTCTCTCCCTCCCCCTTTTCTCTCTCTACAATCAATAAACATATCCTTGAGTGATCATTATTTTAAGATGAAATGTTCTGGAGATGGATGGTGATGATGGTTGCATAACAACATGAATGTACTTAATGACACTGAATCGAAAATGTGCACTAAAAAATGGTTTGCCACCGGGGTGGCTCAGTGGTTGAGCATCAACCCATGCATGCACTGGTTTGATTCCGGGTCAGGGCACATGCCCAGGTTGTGGGCTCGATGGCCAGTAGGGGGCGTGCAGGAGGCAGCCTATCCATGTCTCTCTCATCCATAATTCTGTATCTCTCATCCTCTCTCTTCCTCTCTCTCTAAAATCAACAAAAACAAATGTTTTAAAAATGGTTTAAATGGTCAATTTTACTTTGTGTACATTTTACCACAAATTTTTTAAGTCTTTTATTGGGATGAGGTCCAAGCCCCTCAGCTCTTCAGTTTGCCCAGTTGCCACACCAGCACACCTTCTCTCCCTCTTGCCTTCTCTCAATGCTCTTCCCCCAGCTCTTGACCTGGCTAACTCCAGCTCACTCCTGCAGCGTCCAACTCTCAACATCCAGTCCAACTCTAACGTCCAACTCCGCTGCAAGGCCTGCCCCGGCCACCCACTGCTCTCCGGGCAGCACTGACCACAGTGATGTATGTCTATGTCTCCGCCTCCCCTCCCCCCCACCCCCCTCTGTCTGGGAGGTTCCTAAGAAGGACCCGGTCACGTTCATTTCTATGTTCAAAACAAAGTGCAGGGAAATCGCAGAGGACCGAATGGAATCGGCAGGCACACGGGGAGTAGCTGGTGAGCCAGCCAGTGTCCCTGAAGACCAGGGCAGGTTGGGAAAGGGGCGGGGCCAGGATGATCGCACCTGCTGGTCACCAGGCAGTATTTCTGGAGAGAGAAAAAGAAAACGGAGGTGAGGCAGGCAGGAAAGACCCTGGACACAACTGAGGATGGGGTGGGTGGACCAAGAATGCTGAGTATGGGGTCAGGAAAAATCAGAAAAGCCAAAAGAAACCCAGAATTCAAGGCCACCCCTAGCCCTTTATCCGTGTAAACTAGAAAAGGGACCCCTTCCTCAAGAAACAGCACTCTGTGGCAGAAGACTGTCCTGAGAAATAAGCAAACCCACAGCGTCTGTTATGTGAAGGGTCCCCCTTAGACATAGCGGCCTTGTGCAGCGCCCAGCCTAAGCAACATCCAGCAGTCCTGGGCCACCCCTCCTCCCCGTGTGACCCTGGCTGGTCCCTGCCCCTCTCTGGACCTCGGGGCCCCTGCCTGACCCTGGGATGAGCTCTCCGGGGCCTGGACCCGGGCCGAGGGGCAGCGAAGGAAGGTCACCCAAGCTCACCATGAGGAACTCAGTCTGCGGCTTGTCTGCCACCTCCTCCAGCACCTTCTCCATCTGCCGCAGCTGCTCCAGGTAGGAGTTCAGGCTCCCCAGCTCCTTCCGCAAAGCGACCCCCGCCTCGCTCCGCACCCGCTCCGCCTCCCGGTCCAAGGAGCCCTCCAGTGCAGACAGGAACAGCCGCATCTTGCCCAGCTGCTCGCCCACCGCCTCCTGGAACTGACGCACTGTCTCCTGTGGGGAAGGCAAGCCAAAGCCCTTGGCTGGGGAGGCCTAGCCCCGCCCCCCGCCCCCAGGCTCTGCCACGCTGAGCCCTCACCTCCACCTCCAAGAGCTGGTGCTCCAGCACAGCCACACTCTTCTCCTTGCGTGCACATGCCTCCTGCAGCTGCAGCTTCTGCTGGGGGAGCTGGGTCTGGGGGTGAGACAGAAAGAGGCGATGCTGCTGCTCCCCCACCTGAACCCGCCCTCTGTGTCTCAGCCTCAAGGCCAGCTCCTCCTCCAGCCAAGCTGGCTCTCACCTTTCCCCAAACCCACGTGCAGGTCGCCAGGCCCTTGCCAGTTCTGGTCCTGATGCCTAGAGCGCCTGCCCCTTGACTTGCCTCTTCAGGGGAGGTCCTCCCCAGCCCCTTGGCAGTCAGCCCCCGCCCCCACCCCCCTCAGGGCTTTGTGAGAAAGACACACACAATGTGACTGGCTCTCCTCCACCAGCGGGAATGAAGCTGGCTGCAGGCTCCGGAGGGTGAGTGTAGGGTGTTTGCAGTAGAAACGCAACCTCCTCCGATTCCCGGACAACCTGGAGTTCCTAACACCTCCTGCCAAAGCCGCCCTGCGCTGGGGCTGCAGGGCCATGGGATCAGACAGGTCCAGTCCCGCCTCCACGGCTTCCAACTGCTGGGTCCCCTTCTGTGGGAACAGCCTGGCACCTCACCTGACACCTGACGACGCTACAGTGGCGGCCTCCTCCCACCCCCTAAGGGGACCAGGGAGCCCCTGGGCGCCGGCGCCAACAGTCTCCTCCCCCGACGTCCTGGGAGCCACAGCCCCGCCTGCTGCAGGCCTGGGCCGGACGCGCCGTCGGAGGGAGCGGCTGAGCCATGGGGAAGAAGCGCGACGCCATCCTGGACGCGCTGGAGAACCTGACGGCGGATGAGCTCAAGAAGTTCAAGCTGAAGCTGGGGGCGGCGCCGCTGCGCGAAGGCTTCCGCCACATCCCGCGGGGCGCGCTCGGGCCGCTGGACGCCGTGGACCTCACCGACAAGCTGGTCGCCTTCTACTGCGAGGACTACGGCGCCGAGGTCACCGAGGCGGTGCTGCGCGACATGGGCATGCAGGAGGAGGCGGCGCGGCTGGGGGGCGCCGCGTGAGTTCCCGCGCCCGCCGGCCCTCGGCTACTCCTGAGTCTCAGTACCCGGCCAAGGCGGGACCCGCTCCTCTTCCTCGCCAGAAACCCAGGGGTCCGGTCCGGCCCAGCCTTCCTGCTCCCTTCCCCACCCCCAACCCCCCACCTCCCGCCAGCCTCTCCCTGCCTTTTCGGGCTGAGCGGATGCGGACCCTGGCATACTGCACCCGCCCCGCCTGCCCCTGGCGGCGCCCTGGACTCCTGGGCCCCTGTCCCATTTCACGGACTCTGTTATCTCTTCGCAGATGAAAACGGACGAGGTCGGGAGCGGTACGGTTTTCAGCAGAGGTGAGCCTGGGCTGGGGGCTCCTGGCTTGGGGGGCTCCTGCACGGGCTGGGGAGACCGCCGCCGGCAGTGGCTGGACGGGAGGCCGGGCCGGGAGGGAAGGGGGGCTGGTCCTGCGGGAGCCTGAGGGCTGCGTCTACCCCGCTAGGAGTCCGGGCCGGAGAAGGGCAGTGCTGATGCGCGGGGGCTGGGACCACGCAGAAGCCCTCCGACCCGAGTCCTGAGGCCGCGGCCACTCCTCCACCGCGGGACCGACGGCCGCTGCGCGCCTCCAGCCCCGCCCCCCGCCCCTCGCTCTGCCCCTGCACCAATAAAACCTTCGTGACAAACCTTCCTGACCTGTGTAGACACCTACCCTCTCGTGACTGGCCTCGCGTATGGCATGGGCGCGCCCGTGTGCGCCTGCGTCTCTATTTGCAAATGTGTCGACCCTTTCCGGCCTCGTGGGGATCGCAAACCTCGGGCGCGCACAACTGTGTGTGGGCGCTGCACGCGCTCAGGACTAACAGCTCCAACCGGTAAAACAGCCCCGACTTCATCCCGGTGCCCACTGGGCCTGCGCACCGAGCTGCGCGCCCAGGCGCCAGAAATCTAGGTTTGCGCCGAGCCATCCCACCAGGGCCCGCCCTGAGCGCCTCTTCAAAGCTTCCCTCTCGCCGCCCGCCTTCAGCCGCCTGCCCTCCCGCGTCCCCCACAACACCTGGCGCCTGGGGCCCTGAAGCTCAGAGACCAACTCCATGCAGCAACCCCCCCCCCCCCATGGGCCCTGCCCCATCCAACCATCCCTTGACCGATCCGCCGGGCCCCGCACCTTGAGGCGCGCGTGGGCTTCAGCTGCGGGCAGCAGGCGGTGGCCGCGGTGGGAACCCAGCGAGGCGCACACGCCGCACACGAGCGCGCGGTCCTGCTCGCAGTAGATGCTGAGCGGGTCTAGGTGCTCCTCGCAGTGGCCCTGCGGCACCTGTGCCAGCCCCTCCACCAGGCGCGCCAGCTGCAGGTTGGTGCTGAGCGCCTGCGGCCGCGTGGGTGCCTGACAGGACGGGCAAGGCGCGGTGCCGTCCGCCCCCGGCTCCCCGGCCACTCGGCTCAGGCAGGCGCGGCAGAAGCTGTGGCCGCACTCTGCTGTCACCGGCGCATCGAACAGCTGCAAACACAGCGGGCAGGACAGCTCCTGGCGCAGGAGACCGGGCGCAGCCGACATGGCGGGCCTGGGTACAGGAGAGGTCAGTCAGGGAGACTCAGCCCAGAAAGATCCCCCATCGGGGACGTTGTCTCAATCCCAGTTCCTAAACACAAGCCCGGGTTGCAGTCTTACCCACTGTCTTTCCCTGACTTAGGCCCAGATTCTCCAAAGCCGTCTGCCGACCCTCGCGCCCTCACCTCCCCAGGACCCCCAGCACTCCCCTCCCCATTATCTCCAGGCCCACAGGATCCATGGACTCACAGGTCTGGTTGGAGATCACGGGCAAAAAGAGACTCCCAGGAGGCTCAGCCACCGTGAGGCCTAACTAAGCGCAGGGGGTCAGGGTGGTGTCTGAAGACAGGTGAGAGGCAAGCGACCAGCTCAGAGCAGGGACGGGCGCTGGCACTCCCGGGGCAGCTAGCAGTGGACACCACAGCTGACCGGCTGCAGTGACTGGCAGAGGGAGCCTCCCTCGTGAGCTCTGGCCCCAGGACTATATTTAGCTGCCCTGACTCTCCCTCCTATCATTTCTGGAAACCATTCTAAAAGTGAAGACTGAGTGGTCAGGGAACAAGCAACACATGTCAAGGCCACCTGTCCTGGCCCATCCCACTGTCCCCTCCGCTGCCCAATCTGAAGCCAGCGCTCAGAGCCAACAGAACACAGCGCCTCTCCATAGGAGAGAAGAGAGGTCTGCCCTTTCTCCCCCACCTCCACCCCCACGCCACAATCTGCAGCTTCCCCCTCCCCAAGGGCGGCCCCTGCCCAGCTTGTCACCCACTCATTAATTCCCAAGCTGTTGACTTGCTCTCACACCGACAGTATTATCTCCCCCTGCAGGACAGGGCCTCGCCCCACCCTGGAAGGTTTTCTTCCTCCAGAGCTGAGGAAAGAGTCTTTTTTCTGTCTCGCCAGAGCTCAGCTCAAGCCCGGGGACAAAGCTGGCCTCCCTAAATGCTTGAAAATAAATATTCGACTGGCAGTTGAATAAATGAATGAACTGAATCCAGAGCCTGCGGCCCAGAAGCAGAGTCGGCCTGGGAGCCCCAGGCCCCTCTGTATGCTGATCCTTGAAATCTCCGCTTAAATTTCATTGAGAATAAAAACCAAAGTCCCTGTGGCCTACAAGGCTCTACCCAATTAGACCCATTTGTCTCTCACCCATCACCCCCTTGCTCACTCCAGCCAGGCCTTCGTACTTGCCATCCCCTCTTTCTGGAAAACTCTTTCAAAGGAAGACCTTTTTTTTTCTTTTTTTTTTTAAGAACAAAACAGGTATATTTCTATTGGACTACCTGATACAGAGGATAGTGTGGTATGGATGGATAGTATGAATGACAAATAATACAAATATATTTCATTTGAAATAAACAAATATGCTTACATAGCTCAATAGGTCACTTGGAAACAAACTCTTGCTTGACTGTATTACTGAGCAAAAACAAAGCTGAAACACAAACACCCTTCTTTTTTTTTTTTTTTTAAATATATTTTATTGATTTTTTTACAGAGAGGAAGGGAGAGGGAGAGAGAGTTAGAAACATTGATGAGAGAGAAACATCGATCAGCTGCCTCCAGCACACTCCCATTGGGGATGTGCCCGCAACCAAGGTACATGTCCCTGACCGGAATCGAACCTGGGACCCTTCAGTCCACAGGCCGACGCTCTATCCACTGAGCCAAACTGGTTAGGTCAACACCCTTCTTTTTTGACACGTATATGCAGATAGGTAGGAAGACACTACTTGGTTTTTAAAAAACTGACCTTCCCTTAAGGCCTGGTCATAGAAGTGTAAACAATGTAAATGAATCCACCGTTTCAGTTGTCATATCATATCTATGTCACCTGTGTATTCTGAGATCACACATATACCTTCCAATAAACCTGGAAGGGTTGCCATACCACAGTTACATTTAAGTTCTTGGCAGGCAGGACTGAGAAAAGTCATGTAGAACAAGTTTTACATCCTATTTAGAACAATCGCTAGTATTCCCTTAAATAACAGGCTACAATAGAAAGATACTGCTGGGAAGTTATCCTTTTCACTTGGTTCATTTTTAGGTTTTGTTTGTGATTTACAGAGCTGTTCGATTTGTTTGCCTATAGTACTATCCTGCCACATGTATTAAAGCACAGATACCTATTATTTCTTCATCTTTCAACTCTGATACTCGATTACATCCCTCGTATGTCAGCAGTTCTGGGATATTATAAAAACAATAGTGGGTAAAACTCTGCTAAAAATGCAGATGTCTACAACTACAATGGTACTAGACGGGAAGGAGACAATAAAGAAGGGAAAAAGCAAACACATTCATGTGCAGGGAATGTGGTTCAAGTCTTTGGATTTAAAAACAACTTCCCCAGAGAAGCTGGCTCTAATGGAATTTCCAGAAAACTTCCTGTGCCCAACAAAAGGACCTGAAAAGCCCAATCCAAACTTTTGAAAACCACAGTTACGCAAAGAGATGATCAAGGCAGTTGAGGGAGAGGATGGATGTGTCTTCCATTCGGCTACAGTTGGTAGCACAGCCTCTTTCACTGTTGTTGATGATCAGTATAAACCATGGAAGTACCAGGTGTGCTTTGAAGGACAGGGGTAGAAAAGCAGTGAACATATTACCTGTCTATACCACAAACAGGGCTTTATGGCTAGGAAAATTTTCTAAAGAGTAAAATGACTCCAGGATAGATCTTTCTCTCCATCATTAAATGTGGCAGAATTAAAAAAAAAAAAATTTACAAGTAGATATAGTGAAAACAGAAAATTACAAGTCAGAGAACATAAAAGTATCAAGACAATGCTATAGGTTCAACAGTATTCCATGAGGCTAGAAAACCTGTTAACTTTGAAAGCCCTAGCAAAATATCTCTCTTGTTTATAAATCACTTATTTCTCATACTAGAGGCCTGGTGCACAAAAATTTGTGCACTTGGGCGGGTCCCTCAGCCTGGCCTGTGCCCTCTCGCAGTCTGGGACCTCTCGGGGGATGTCCACCTGCTGGCTTAGGCCCGCTCCCCAGGGGATTGGGCCTAAGCTGGCAGTCAGACATCCCTCTGGCAGCCTGGGAGCCCTTGGGGGATGTCCACTTGCCAGGAGGGAGCAGGCCTAAGCTGCAGTCAGACATCCTTAGTGCTGCTGAGGAGGCGGGAGAGGCTCCCGCCACCACCGCTGTCCTGGCAGCCGGCAGCCTGGCTTGTGACTGTGGGAGCGCACTGACCACCAGGGGGCAGCTCCTGCGTTGAGCATCTACCCTCTGGTGGTGAGTGTGTGTCATAGTGACCAGTCATTCCCAGTCCTTCTGCTGTTAGGGTCAGTTTGCATATTACACTTTACTATATAGGATAGAGGCCTGGTGCACGGGTGGGGGCCAGCTGGTTTGCCCTGAAGGGTGTCCCGGATCAGGGTGGGGGCCCCGCTTGGGTGCCTGGCCAGCCTGGATGAGGGGATGATTGATGGCTGTTTTTAGGCTGCCTGCAACCCCTTCAGGGTGGGGGTCCTCACTGGGGTGCCTGGCCAGTCTGGGTGAGGGGCTGAGGGCCGTTTTCAGGCTGGCGGGTGACTGAAGCTCCCAGCCTCTCCTTTTTTTCTTTTTATTCTGGGATTTATTTACTTTCTATGGCTGTCACTGGAACTGAGAGCCGGCTTTAGCTCTGAGGCCGGCTCCAGCTTGAGGCCTCGGCTGCTGAAAGCAGGTATCTGGAGTTTGTTTGGGTTCTATAATTGAAACACTGTTGCCATCACTGCCGCCCTAAGCTCAGAGGCCCGGCTGGCTGAAAGCAGCTATCTGGAGCTTGTTTAGCTTCTATAATTGCAACATTGTTTCTTAGACTGCAGCTCATAGGCCGGCAGCGGCAGGCGGGGAACCTTGGCTTCCTCCTTCACTGGAGCAAGCAAGCCTCCTGTTCGCTTCAGCTGCCTGGCTGCCGGCCACCATCTTGGTTGGCAGTTAATTTGCATATAGCCCTGATTAGCCAATGGGAAGCGTTCGGGGGTATGGTCAATTTGCATATTTCTCTATTATTAAATAGGCTGACCATACATTGAACCCTTTCTTTCCATGGACTGAGGAATCTTACATTCAGCCTTTAAGCACTCTGCATTTCTTTGCCAATCTTGTAGCCGAGTATCTTGTTCCGGTCGATTTTG